TATACTATAGTTGTAGTACGAATGGGTCGGCTCGACCGGGGAAGGACCATGCTCTAACAGAAGGTAAAGTAGGTACGTATCCTGTTTTCTAGGAGACCCTGTACATATATAAATACAATATTTTTCTTAATGAAAACTGACTGAAAAATGCGCATTCTTCTACACGTTATCTAAGATTTTTGCTTAACTTACCTTCAAAACTTTTTCGTATCCAGCAATTAAACATTTTGAAGTCTTACTATTGATCAAGATTAAAATATCCATAAGATTTATTAATTTATACGATCCATTTTCAATATTTCTAAACAAGTGTAGTTCGAATCAACTTTAAAAAATAAATAAATATAATTAATATGATATTTATGGTTAGCTGGTAGAGAATGCCATATAGCATCAAGCTCACATTTTGTACAAATATTTGGTGCAATAAAGAATAAATAAATAAATTTATCTAGGTATAATTATTAATGCGTCGCAAATCGCAATTCGCAAGCGGTTGATATTATCAAATGTTCATTCACTTTACAACGTTGCCAGTTCGCTTCTGGATTGCGTGCGGTGCAAAGAATTCCTCGTCCGTCCAAGCTATCTAGTAGACCAATTGGATCCCAGGCCCCACCCATCTCGTAAGTCGCGCGGATTCGCGCGCTTTTGAAAATGAATAGGTTTGGCAACGTCGCATCTTTATCGTTATAATAACGTTAAATTGCCTGTCACAATTTTGTTCTGTTACTCTTAAAACGTTATACTAAACATTGAAAACGCTATGCTTGCTAAGGTAACGATAACATTATAACGTTATTATAACGTTATACATTCTGTTATTTATAACGTTTTAAGTCCCTAGGTCCCGCACACTACGCAATGTTATTGGCAATTTTTCATGGTACAATCTGACTTAGTCGCTCTGCAGCTAGATTCATGTGTACACGTTTAATATAATGGATAGAAAAAAAAGGCGTCACATTGAGTATTGCATTAATTTTACTAACCAAGAAAGGGCAATCAAGAAAGAAACCATGGATTAATTTTTTTTTTCATTAAATATTTTTCTATACGTTTTCTCTCGTGCTATTTGGTATGATTTTTTTTTATAAATATCGTGCAAGTTATCAAGCGCATTATTTTTCCTAACTTTATCGGGAGATTCTTCGCAGGATGTATTGCATAGTTCTGGATAAGTTTCCCATGTTTTAACAAATATTGCTTTTCCGTGAGAGTACTATCATCAACAGTATCAACACTATTTTCACTGTTTTCGTCCTCCATTTTAAGCAAAAACGAACGTCCGCCTGCCTTGAAATCTTTTCCTCGACTAAAATATTGCCGAGCGACCGCAAACGACAATATTATTGACAATACCCCTGCCTCCACCCAATATTGACGTGACAAAATCAGAATTTCTGGATATCAACAACAATATTGAACAATATCGCAATACAGGCCGCACACACACAATATTATTGACAATACGTACTTTATTGTCAATAATATTGTAAGTGTGCGGCTAGCCTTCACTAAAAAATCACAATGAAAATTACAATTTCTGATTTCTTATTATGATACCTACTTATTATATTTCATTTTATTTTTACTTATTTTAAATTAAGTTTCCATCGTATTAATATTGACAAATACTTATACGATACTAACGTCACTCAATTGTTTTGTTTTCCCATTGAGCTATTATGTACTACGTACTAGAGGCGACACTGCATTAAGTTACGTTGTGCCATTCAACAATAGACGGCTCCGTGGCGCAGTGGCTTAGCAATCAGTTGTTGCGCTGGGGGTCGCACGTAACAAGTATTTGTATGGCCTACAAATAATTGTACCTGGTCTGGATGTTTGTCCTTGTGCAATTAATGTTTGTAAACTGCCTCCACGACACAGGAGAAAATCCTTGTGTGGGGGTAACGTTATTAAAAAAAAAAGAAAGAAAGAAAAATAAAGAAACTGCGCTGATAGTGCCGCACTTTACTCAGTCGCTCGCTTGATAAAATACGCCATGGCGTGTTTTAGATATTGCACAAATAATTCAAGAAATGTTAGCAAATACCAAGGAATAACTTTTCATCGTTGAGTAAAATACTTAATAAAAAAGTATTATAATCAAATAAATTATTCATAAGACGCCATCTCGGGTCATGAAATATAGATTATGAAATTAATTTGTTCAGATGCGACGTTACTGTATGTAATTAAGTGTAATAATTGTGCATAATATAATATGTTTTTTTTTTGTAGAAACAAATGTAAAGTATACATAATTAGGCTAAATTTTAGATATTTAAATTTGTTGATTATTCTTTTATTTTATTTTTAGGTTTCCACGTCCAAGCTATGAAAAGAGAGAAAATGGAATAAATTCATCCATTTATAATCTCGCATGCCCAGCATTTATGAATGACTCTTAGAATCTAAATAAATATATTTGTAAATTATATGTTATATCAATAAGTTTTGTTATACATACATTTAGTATGTTTTTTTATATTTTACATAGTTACCTTTTAAAATATTCAAATAAAAATATCATTTAAATGTAATTTAGAAATCAGCAGTACCGTGCGGTAACGTTTTTTTATATTATTTTATAACATTGCTGCGATTTTAGTTTTATTTTCTGATTAGACGACGAATGAATTTTTTGTAATGTTCAGTATATTTACGGGACTTAAGAGAGGTGGAACCCTCGGCGCGCGAGTCAGACGCACACGCTAGAAGTCTTACAGGCTTCCCAAATTATTAGTACCTATCTTTTTTTCTCAGTCAACAAAATGTGGTGAACAGAAAGTATCAGAACCGTTGTCTGAATCAATAAGCAGTTCTAATTCAAGTTTTGATAGTCCGAGCAAAATTATACTTACAAATAAATTACGCAAGTGATGTCTCCTAAGCCTAATTTGAGTGATGTATACGAAGTCTAAGTTTTTAAATATAGTTCTACCTTAGTAACGGAATCAATAATTCTAGGTCATTATAAAAATAATAAAATATGAGCACGATGTAATATTGTGTTTGTATTTAATAGTAAGGAATCTGCAGCTAGAAAGAAACTTACTGAGAAATTTAAGAAAATACAAAGCCAAAATATTTATCTAAAGAAAAAATGCGCTTCTTACAAATCAATTGGACAAAATTTAAACATAAATTCAGTCTCAAGCTAAATGCTGAGATTGATTTAATGGCTAAAGCAGAAGTTGGGGAGTTACGTGAATCTTTAATGAAAAAGAATAAACAGAGCACGCATTATTTATTAATACACTGCATGCACCTCAACGTAAATTCGCATTGATTTTACACTATTATTCACCAGCTGCGTATAAATACGTTAGAGAATTCTAGAAAAGTAATAATAATGATCTTTGAAAATACATTCATATTTTTATATCTTACATATTTACGTTTTAAAGTATTAAATAAAATATCATTAAAATGTAATTCTGTCGTAATATTATGTTATATTATATTAAATTAACACATAAATGCAAAATAAATAACAAAAAAATTGTACTCGATATAATTTTTTTTTTATAGAAGAGTGGGCAAACGAGCATGCGGCTCACCTGATGGTAAGTGACTACCGCCGCCCATGAACAACAGCAACACCAGGGGAATTGCAGATGCGTTACCGGCCTTTTAGAAAGGTGTAAGCTCTTTTCTTGAAGGTTCCTAAGTTGTATCGGTCCGGAATATTCACTGGTGGTAATTGATTCCACAAGGAAGTTGTGCGAGGGAGAAAACTTCTTCTAAATTGCACAGTGGTGGACCGCCAATCATCCAGATGGTATGGATGGTAACGCGAGTTTTGTCGCGATTTGCGATGGTGAAATTGAGCGGCTGGAATTAGTCCGAACAATAATTCTTCAAAGCACTCCCCGTGATAGATGCGATAAAATACGCAAAGAGATGCAACATCTCTACGCAGTGCCAGTGTATCGAGCCGATTAGAAAGAACTTGGTCGTCGACGAGGACGAGGAAGGAGCTGGCACTGGGGTGCCCCGGCACAGAGTTGAGAACTATTATAAAGAGAGAAGAATATTATAAAAAAAGAATTATCGAAATCGGTTCAACTGCTCTCGAGATTTGCGCTTAGCAACACATTCAGCGATTCATTTTTATATTATAGTAATAATATAATGCTCACGGATTTTGAGCATTACCGTAATAGAATGCGATATTTTTCCCTGTCCATTTGTGTATAAAACATTTGTACTAGTTCTGAAATATTGAGTTTAGAGTGCTAAACATTTTAATTGTACTTACATGTGAAATGTATAATTTTGTGGATTTTCTTGTCTCGATGAACTGCATTCAGGTACGGCACACGTCACCATATTTAATCACACCTTTTAAATACTTATTAATACTTAAAAATCAAAGATATCGGAAAATAAGCGGGATTTGTTTCATTAACGATTGACGAAGATCCTGGGCCTAGACTTTATGAGGAAGAATTGTTGTGAGATCGACGTTAAGCAAGGTGTTTTGAAATGTGGACAAGAGGAACTTTTCGTGGAAGGGGCGTTACCAGGGAATGTGTACAGTCTTAAGGAGTTTGTTCTTCCGCCGAGATCGGAAACGAATGTGCCGGTTAGACTTCCTCGGAATCCTGGGCAAACTCTTCGTTGTCTGCTTGTGGAAAGAGTAGACAATGACCTTTCATGGATAGTGGCTCGAACCTTGGTCAGCACCGCCGACATCTCAGGAGTATGTGTGCTAAACCTTTGTGATCAGGAACAGATTATGGAAAAAGGCACTTTGGTTGGTACTAGTGAGAAAGTGGATTGGTTGCGTCGGTGCCAATATTTATCGACTGGGAACCCGAGCAAGGAAGGACAAACGAGAGTGACCACACTTTTAGAAGACTGTCGCAGCGTTCTCTCCACGAATGTAATGGTCAAGGCGAAGAAGTTACTCAAGTACGCCGATGTTTTCTCGTCAAACGAAGCTGACACAGGAAAGACTGGCTTAGTTCAACACAAAATAAACACAGGAGAAGAATTGCTTATTAGTCAGCGGCCAAGAAGATTGCCTGTAGCACGTGAAAAGGAAGTGGAAACCATGATTGAGCGAATGGTTAATGATGGTGTTATTGAACCTTCATCTCGGCCATGGTGTTCACCTGTGGTGCTGGTAAAGAAGAAGGACGGCAGCATGCGGTTTTGTGTTGACTACCGCCGCCTGAACGACGTTACGAAGAAGGACAGCTATCCCTTGCCTAGAACTGATGACACGCTGGACATGCTCACAGGCGTAAAGTGGTTTGATACGCTGGACCTGAAAAGTGGCTACTGGCAGGTTGAAAACTATATTCTCCACAGGAAAGGGTCTGTGGCAATTTAAAGTCATGCCGTTTGGATTATGCAATGCTCCAGCAACGGTTGAAAGACTGATGGAGCTTGTACTTACCGGGCTAATTGGAGATTGGAGATGACATCATCATCGTAGGCCGTACGTTTGAGGAATAGAATAGAATATTTTTTATTCAATATACATTACATGTGTAATTCTTATTGAAAGTCATTTTTTACTTTACCACTGGTTCGAAAAAAAACCTCTGTCCTGGGAAGAACCAGCAAGAAACCCAGCGGGACTTTTTTTTAAATAAATTTTACAATATAAATGATTACGAACTATTTACAAAATTTATTTTAGAAACTGCTTGGAAGCGATCACCTCATTCCCAGGGGTTATTATCAACCATGTATTCATTTATACTATAATAACCCTTTTTATACAGTTTCAGCTTAATAATACATTTAAACTTGGTAATAGAGAGAACCTGTACACTTTCCGGGACCTTGTTGTAATAGCGTATACATTGCCCCAAGAATGAATTACTGACTCTGTGGAGTCGAGAAACTGGTATCACTAGCTTGTGTTTGTTCCTAGTGTTTACAGAATGTATATCACTTCTTTTACTAAAACTATCTTTGTTTTTGTGAACATACATTATATTTTCGTAAATATACTGAGAGGCCAAAGTTAATATATTAATTTCTTTAAATTTATCTCTAAGAGACTCTCTCGGTTTTAGATTGTAAATAGCTCTAATGGCCCTCTTCTGTAAAACAAAAATAGTTTCTGAATCAGCCGCATTTCCTCATAGCAAAATCCCATAAGACATTATGCTATGAAAATAACTAAAATAAACTAATCTAGCTGTCTCGACACTAGTGAGACCTCTAATCTTTTTTACAGCATAGGCTGCAGAACTTAGTCTGCATGCTAATTTGGATATATGGGGGCCCCACTGGAGCTTTGCGTCAAGAGTGATGCCAAGAAAAACAGTGGATACAACAGGGCTCAATTCCTCCCCATTTAAAAACACATTGGTATTCAGATTTTAAACATTCGTTGTTGTAAATTTAACACAATTAGTTTTATTTCCGTTCAAATGCAGATTATTAACGTTAAACCAATGCACTAATTTTGATATAGCATTATTCACTTCGTCACATTTAAATGATTGACGTTTAAGTTTAAAAATCAAGGAAGTATCATCAGCAAATAATACTATATCATGACTATCCCCTACAAGGTGAGGTAAGTCATTAATATACACCAGAAACAGGAATGGGCCGAGAATCGAGCCCTGAGGTACACCCATTAGTACAGGTGACCCGGAAGAACCTTTACCATTGATAATAACCTTCTGTTTTCTATTACTTAAATATGAAACACCTTCAAAACATGGAACGCGTGCTCATGAAGATCCAGAGTGCCAATCTCAAGTTGAGTATGAAGAAGTGCTCACTATTCAAAGGGCAAGTTAGCTTTTTGGGTTATGTAGTGTCGGAAGAAGGTATCTGCACGGATCCAGAGATTTTGCCGCTGTCAAGGAGTGGCCGGTTCCAAAAGACAAGACACAGGTTAGAGCATTATTGGCTTTGTGCTCTTATTATCGGCGATTTGTGAAGAACTTTGCAGATATAGCCAAACCTCTGCACAAGCTAACCGAGGAGAAGCGACATTTCTGCTGGGATGAAAGTTGCGATATTGCATTCCAGGAGCTCAAGAATCGTCTGTGCAAAACACCTATTTTGGGGTACACCTATTTGGAGGCCCTTTTTACTGGAAATGAGGCATTCCATCTTAGTTCTCACGGGTGACAACGCATCTACATTTTGATTTGTAACAGAGAATAGATGTAGATGTCTATGGGCCGCAGCAACCACCTACCATCAGGTGGACTGTGTGCTCGTTTGTCACCCTTATCCTATAAAAAAAAGCCTGATGCGGGCAAGGAATTTATAGTTGACACAGACGCAATTGATATAAAGTAAAAAAAGTACCGGGTGTTCTACAGCTGTACCATAAGTATTTCATGGATGTGATGGATTACTTCACTAAGTGGCCAGAAGTCTTCGCCATTCCAAATCAAGAAGCTTCAACAGTTGCAGATAAACTAGTTCATGAAGCCTTCTGTCGTTTTGGAGTACCCTTAGAGATTCAAAGCGATCAAGGAAGGAATTTTGAGTCTCAAATATTCCAGGAAACTTGCCGAGTTATGGGTACTCATAAAACAGGAACAACTTCTTACCACCCACAATCTGATGGAATGGTAGAACGATTTAATCAGACATTGGAGAGGTACTTAACAAAAGTTGTGGAAAAACGGCAACGAGACTGGGACAGGCACATACAACCGTTTTTGTTGTCATATCGAAGCGCTGTTCACGAAAGTACATCAGTGACACCAGCTTTCGCAAACTTTGGGAGAGAATTACGGCTACCTGCAGACCTGATCACCGGTATACCACCTGATGCCCCACGCAGTGTAACCGATTATGCAAATGACTTGCGGAACAAAATGAATGACATTTATGAGCACGTCAGACAGACGGGCCAGCAAACTTTTGAGAAGATGAAAACTCGGTATGACCGCAAAATGAAGAACAAGTGGTTTAACGGAGGTTCACTAGTGTGGTTACACAATCCAGTTCGCAGCAAATGGAAATCACCTAAGCTTCAAGCTAAATGGGACGGGCCGTACCTGATTGTGACAAGGATCAATAACGTAACCTACCGGATAGAGAAAGGTGCCAGAGGTACTCCTGGCAACCCTAGTTACACTAGCGCCCTCTAGTGTCGAGTAGCAGAACTAGGAGAGTCAAGATCCTTCTAGAAACTTCGGGACCAATATGTACTCGAACATTCTAGATGTCGCTACAGTAGAAGGTTCTGGAAACTATCTGAAGCCCTATATAAGGCCGGTATAGACCACGACCAGGGCAGTATTGAATTAGTGATACAAGAGAATACTTCGAAGCGAAATAATTGCGAACCAAAGCGACAATTGTGTTTTATACTTGTGTGGTTTTAGATTGTAATTAGTGTTGAGTTCTAATTGAAGTGTCAATTTTGGTAATTCAATCGGCAGTTTTTAATTGTCTCGAACCCCAAGCTCGTAACAATTATAATATTCATTGTATGACACAGACAGCGTTTTTTATCGATAATTGAAGTTGATGAAGACTGAACGTGTGTGATAGGTCTTTGATTTCATATAGATTTGCTGTGTTCCGAATTCCAAACGGGTCGGCCACATACTTTCGGAATCCCGTTTTGCCTGCAAAATTTCGAATGAAAAACTACTGTATACGTGTGACGAGTCGATGATTTTATATAGACTTGACACGTTCGAAATTCCGAAACGGTATTCCGAAAGGGAATGCCGAAACGGAATTCCGTATGTATTTCACCAGCCTAAGAGTGCAAATGTCGTATCTTATCGTAGCTCAATGTCGTCGATCTAGCGTATTCTTTGATAATATCTATGGCTAGGTCAAAGATGTTTTTACAGAAATGTATGAAATTCAACTTTGTTACATTGTATTAAATTTTGTTTTCAAATAAACCTGATGAAAGATAAGTTTGAATAAATAAATATTAATTGTAAGAAGATAAAGTACATACATAATGTATCGGTAGAATTATTATGCAATTATCTCGGTTCACGTTACATAAAGAAGAACAAACATGTTTTATTACTAGGAAAACCATGAGTCTTTTAAAAGGTACGAAGATTATTTGCATCAGCGGGAGCAAGGTTTGTAGTCGGCAGTTTCGTTTTCTTTCTGACAATTATATATTCAGTTCAGTTCATTTCAGGTTCAGTCATATTTGAACCAGCGTTGCGTTAGGTTGGGAAGAGCCTACTACTCTTTAGAAAATAAATATAAGTTAATTACATTATATTATTGAAAATAATATAATTTCATTACCATATTTCTCTTTATCAGTTTTTGAAAGTGATGGCCACATATTCTTCTAAAGTTTCCCTCAATGAGGTTGTAATAGCATCGGCCGTAAGGACCCCAATTGGTTCTTTTAGGGGCAGTTTAGCCAGTCTTTCTGCCACTGAACTCGGTGCTGTTGCTGTTAAAGCAGCGATAGAGAGAGCCGGCATTCCAACGGAAGAAGTAAAGGAGGTTAGTTAAGTTTTCCTGCTTTCTAGTGTACAGTTATTTCTATATTGTTAGAGAATTAAAACCCAATTTGTAACTTTGATATCTAATTCCTTATTTAAATAACTTTGCTTTAGATTAATCTTATCAAATGTTATCATATTATTGATAAGATAGATGGGTAAGACTTTCTATTGACGTCCGTCCGGTTAGGGATTAATATTTTTTTTTTACAGAAAGGTTTCATTATTAAAAGCACACACGCATAGTTTCAACATGCGGAAACGCGTACTTTTTGAGAAAAAAAAATAGTGTAAAACAATTATTTCTCAATATTTATGCCAATCACAATTGCCGTCCGTCAAGTTGGCTGTTAATATTTTTATTACAGAAAGGATACATTATTATAAGCAAACACGCAAAGTTTCAACATTCGGGGACACGTATTTTTGAGAAAAAAAAATTGAAAACAACAATTTTTGCAATATTTATGTCAATTCCTACCGTAAAACTGACGCCATTTTTTATTGTTATTGTCATTACGGATGTTGATTCTTTCCGAAAATGATCGATTTTTTAAATAGATTCGAATTGTAAGCTGATGTATCGATTCCCAAAAAATCGATTTCTAAAATATCTATATTTTTTTCATGTTTGCATTTATAATGTAAATATAAATCCATTTTATGAGAAAAAAATCCCCTTCGTCATAAAAAATAAGGGGACTGATTCAGAAGCATTTCTGTATCTATTATGAGACTGCTACGTCTCTGGCGCTGCGGGAAGAGCAGCCTCTACGCCTTAGCGTAAGAAATCGCAGGTTTCGGAGGAGCCGGAGCGGATGAAGCTGGTCGCCGAAGGTGACCAACAAGCCGAAGCTGCGGAGGCGAGGACGATTTGTTACAGCAGGCGGAGGCTGCTCCCCCTACGCGCCTCTGGCTCTATAAAACCACTCTAGGCGTAGGACAGACTCGTACCAGGTGGAGTCGGGGTCAAACAATTCGGTTCTTTGACATAAGTTGAACCTAACCTATTTTATTTGTTATCGGCCCTAATAGGTACTGTTAAAATAAAACAAATTTCAATAAGAGATCATTTATCATGGTATCTTTCTTGGTTTTCATAAAATGGATTTATATTTACATTATAAATGTAAACATGAAAAAATATAGATATTTTAGAAATCGATATTTTGTAAATCGATACATCAGCTTACGATTTGAATCGATTTAAAAATTGACCTTTTTCGGAAAGAATCGACATACCTACTGACGACGACAATGACATTACAAAATGTTTTACGGTAGGATTAGACATAAACATTGCAAGAATAATTGATTTTCAATAATTTTTTTCAAAAATTACGCGTTTCCGCATGTTGAAACTTTGTGTGTGAGCTTATAATAGTGTAACTTTTTTGTAAAAATACGTATCAACACCCAACTCGACGGACGTCAATGGAAAGCTAAACCGAAAGATGTATTTCTTATTTAAAAACATAAGAAAGATAATTTATCTTAAGCGTTTTATCTATGTATCTTCTAATTTCTAATATTTTTAGGTCTATATTGGAAATGTGTGTTCTGCAAATCTTGGTCAGGCTCCTGCAAGGCAAGCTGTTATGTTTGCTGGACTTGCTAAAAGCACTGTATGTACCACAATTAATAAAGTTTGTTCTTCTGGAATGAAAGCAATACTGCTGGCAGCTCAGGGCTTACAAACTGGTGCTCAAGATGTAATTTTGGCTGGTGGAATGGAATCAATGTCAAATGTGCCCTTTTACTTGAAAAGAGGTGAAACCACTTATGGTGGCATGCAATTAGTTGATGGTATAGTGTTTGATGGGCTCACCGATGTCTATAATAAATTCCACATGGGCAATTGTGCAGAGAATACTGCTAAGAAATTAGAAATCTCAAGACAGCAACAAGACAATTGTGCCATTTCTAGTTATAAAAGAAGTGCAGCTGCATATGAAAATAAGGCTTTTGCAGATGAATTAGTTTCTGTTTCTGTACCTCATAAGGGAGGTGCTCCACCAGTAGTATTTAGAGAAGATGAAGAATACAAAAGAGTAAATTTTGAACAGTTTACAAAACTGGCAACGGTATTCCAAAAAGAAAATGGGACAGTAACAGCTGGAAATGCTTCCGCATTAAATGATGGTGCCGCAGCATTAGTGTTAATGACTGCTGAAGCAGCAAAGAGGTTAAATGTTACTCCAATTGCCCGTGTGGTAGGATATGCAGATGCAGAGTGTGACCCAATTGATTTCCCAATAGCTCCTGCTGTTGCAATTCCCAAACTTTTAGAAAAAACTGGTGTGAAGAAAGATGATGTTGCTCTTTGGGAAATAAATGAACCATTTAGTGTGGTTGCGATAGCTAATCAAAAACTATTAGATTTAGATCCTTCTAAGCTTAATGTCCATGGAGGTGCTGTAAGCTTAGGCCATCCAATTGGTATGTCAGGAGCGCGTATAGTTGTTCACTTGTGTCACGCATTAAAGAAAGGAGAAAAAGGCGTTGCAGCTGTTTGCAATGGAGGTGGTGGGGCAACTTCTATTATGATTGAAAAATTGTAAGTTTTTTAATCAATATTATTTTTAATAATTTGGTTTATAATGTTTATTTGAATATTAAATATTGAATCAGTTATGTTATACCGTCATTGTTTATAGAGTGTTAATATCAGATTTTTCATGTGCCTTAATTATGTTTTGCTATGTAAGGAAAATTTTATTGTTATTGTTGGTTGAGGATTATAATATATTCATAGGTGAAAAGTTATATATAATAACTTTAATCATAAGTTATAGATGTAATTATTTTCAATATATTTGTAATTATTTTGAAGCCTTTTTGCTGCTATTTTTATATGACACTCTCTTTATAATGAGTGATGATTAAATCATACAATGTTCATTTTTTGAATCTTTTATTCTCTATCAAGGAGATAATTTTTTTCAGACCTGAAGTTGTGCAAAAACCTCCCATATTAACTTTCTACACAAGAGACCGCTGCTCTCTATGTGATATAGTTATGGAGGAACTCGAGCCATTTAAAGACTATCTATTCACAAATTCTATATTACAGATAATTAATTTTCTATGTGGTAGAGCCATGCTGCAGCTATATTATGGTTGTAGCACGAATGGGTCGGCTCGACCGGGGAAGGACCACGCTCTCACAGAAAACCAGCGTAAAATAGCAGCTTAATGCTGCTGTGTTTCGTATGGTGAGTGTAGAGAACCGGAGACCCTTTTTACTGGCAAAGAGGCATTCCATCTTAGTCCTCACGGGTGACAACGTATCTGCATCTTGAGTCTTTATTGAGGATAGATGTAGATGTCTATGAGTCACAGTAACCACTTACCATCAGGTGGACTGTGTGCTCGTTTGTCACCCGATCCTATAAAAAAAAAAGATAAGGATAATCTGAAATGGCTAAAACTGTACCGACATGATGTACCTGTACCTTTCCTTAATGGAAAGTTTTTATGCATGCACAAATTGGACAAGGACTTGTTAGAGATGACTAATGTTTGTTAGTAATGTTTTGTTAAGAATTGTATTATTATACTAGTCATTTTAATAATCGCATGATAATGTATAAATATATATTTTGGATAAAGACATGAACCGTACTGAAATTATATCTATTGGTGGCATTAGGTCCTTAGGTGACCTGAGTGATCAACCTGGGTGTCAGTGACAAGAGGGTGCTACAAGCCCTTGCAGTGCTTTGACCCATGTTTAATCTGATGTTTTAGCAATATTTGAGTTACAATCTTAGGTCTACATCACTACTTACCCAACAGGTGAGATGATAGAGCCAAAGGTGGGTTTACTAAGCAAAAGGATGGGGGTGTCGTGAATTTTCTCCCAGGCTCATGGATGGCTAGAGCACCCTTAGTCTGGTTATACATGTTATTGTTGCTAAATCAAACATTTTCGAAGTTGGAAAATTTTAAATAAGGATTGTCGAAATATCAATAAAATAAAACCCCAATGATTCAATAACAAAGACACATTAAGTTTAATGTTGTGTAAAACAGTAACATTGTCTTACTGATGCATAGAAGCTAAAAGATTTTGAGGGGGTAGTGTACGCAATGGAGGGCGAGAGGGTGCTCTTCAAACTAGTTAAGATACATAATTTTATTTTATTACGCGTATATAAGCAAATTATACACGCGTGGGAACATCATCAATGTAGTCTGAGTAAATTAAATACGCATTACTAAGGATAACTCAAAAACTACTGCTGAGACCTTGATTAAAATGGATCATGGGACCACATGAGAAGCACCAGCTTCCAAATGAAAAAAGAATCATCAAAATCGGTTCACCTATAAAAAAGTTACGAGGTAACACTAAAAAAAATACAGTCGAATTGAGTACCCCCTCCCTTTTGATGTCGGTTAATTATCATACCGCCTATTTCCCGCGGTATCATGCCACGAACGCTGGTTGAGGTTGTTTCCTCGCTGTATTGCTATACTAAGCCTTTGAGCGAGAAAAGAACCAGCCCTCTTATGGCCAGCAGCGATGACCGAATTCGTGGAGGAATCGCGGATTCAGTTCCTGTAGGATTTTCACCGTATGTGGACCCCACGGACCGATAGTCTGTACAGTAAATGGCACAAGTTTTCTCATCTCTGTGACTCATATTTGCGCCACTTAGTTCAGCTGTCTCTGAGGCCGCCTTAGCTCTAAACGAGGTATCACTGAGGTGAGAGGCTGCCAAAGTGTCTACGCAAGTAGCATCCCACAATAGGGCTTTACCTCTCCCCCAAGGAAATAAAGTCATACCGTCTAATCCCTTGCCATCATCTCATTTTCATTCAAAGAAGAAATTTTTATCAAAGATGCATTAAGAAGATATAAGAATAAGAAAGAATTTCAGAAAAGAAATTTCATATCTAATGCGCTTAAGAGTTTTCTGAAATTCTTTCTTTCTATAGTACTATAATAAAGCGGATTTTTTTTGTTTTTTTGTTTGTTTAAACGCGCTAATCTCTGGAACTACCAGTACGATTAGAAAAATTATTTTCGTATATTATAGCTAGATTCTTATATATGGATATTTGTTAAGCAAGTCAGAAGAAAAGCACTCCCGAAATGATTTATCCGCGTACGCTGGTGTTATCGTTAGGGATACGTAAATACAATTTTCTAGGAAGATATAGATCTTTACTCTATCTAAAAAAAACTCCGCGATACCATATGTGTATTTCTTATACATAAGCCAAAATTAGGTATTTGTGACAAAAAAAATATTGAAAATTTAAAAGTGATTTATGAGCGTTATTATTAGGCATGGCCTATTTATCCTTACGAACGAAGGTTACTTCATCATCAAGACAATTTTATGAAGATACACTTTGTTCTGTATACCATGTTATTTGGACGCATAGTTTAAGAGATAATGTAAAATTAAAATAATTCAATATTTGGCAGGGCGCGCGAACAACACATAAACCCTAGCCGCCTGACGAGAACTGCGAGAACTGCTCAACCGGGAGGGGGAGGGAAAGTGGATGAAACTTAAGTTCGCTCTACATCATACATAATATGCCGACAGATAAAAGTACTCCATTAATTATGCCAATTTTTCCATCCATTGCTATCAAATAAAATATTTAATTGCAATTATAAAATGCTTGAACTAGGTCATGTCGCGCACCTCTGACACGTAATGATGCGGGTGAAACCGCGGGGCACAGCTAGTTTTATATATTATAAAAGTAATAAAAGAAGCAAAAATACGAGCAATTTTATATAAGGGACCAGGCGTAATTCATGCAAATGTTTTATCAAATTGTTTTTATCTTTGGCCAAGGATTGAAATCTAATAAGATGATTGTCTAAGCAATACTGTTAGATCTATTTGGTTTGTTAATATTATTTGTTTTGTCTTAGATGTACCACGCGTACAAAAGTCACTAGAAGTTGTATAAGTATACAACATATAAATCTAGAACTATCCTACTGCTTCCTGCAAGTTTATGCTTGCCTAGTACTATTCCTAAAGTAAACTACTTGATAAAAATTTCCATGTATTTTGTAGAGTAGGACCACTGAGAATTTTCTTTCGCGTATGTCTTACTTGGTAAAAATATTCTTAGTAGTTTTACTAATAAGATTATTTGGTATACTAATGGGAATACATCGCGCCACGAAGATTTCCAATAGACTTAGTACGACTATTGGGAAGTTCTCATTAGAAAGATCCCAATGGTCTTACCAGTAAGACTACTGGGAATACCCCAGTAAATTAACCACATAATTTGAAGTAGAACTTATTTATTCTGTAGTAGAACTAAAACAATAAGTGTTGCAATAGTAATTGATTACAACATTAACATAATTGAAATTCCGTCAGTCATCGTTAAGACCAGTTTTATGTGGTTAATACATCGATCACTAATAAAAAACTAGAAACGCAATCAGTGACAAAAAAATGTACTTACCGAATGAGCGCCCACTCGAACATTTGGGTGCGCTTCTAATTTTTACGTAGCTTTGTGAATATAACTTTAGGCAATGCCTTTAAGGTTTAATTTACATTAATGTATATTTATTTTAACTACAATTACGTCAAAACAATTGACGATTTTTTGAGGCGGACTTATCTCTTGTAATTTCTTTCGCTCTTACATTAATAAATTATATTTATTACATTATATAATGATAACACCGGAAAGGTAAATCATTTTACCGATAACTTACTATAAGAAAAGTTATTATACAGTATGTAACAAAAACCCCGTTAGTCGTTTCAAGGTCGTATAAATGTACACATTTATTCTGTGACAAAACCATGGCAATTATGATAATGAATTTTTTTTTTGGTTGCTTTAAATGGGATTTTAGAGTTTCTAATCAGATACCTATCTTACTAAATTTAATATTTCTAAAAATGTTATTGGCTTCTGAACTTCCGATACGTGCCGTCATAATATTACCTACGGCAGCTGTGAGGTTACTGACACTGCTGCCGAAAAGCGAGCGGCTGCGCGTAACGAGCATCCTCAAGGTTTTTATGTAAACCTATGGGCGGCTACTGCCATGCCTACCGCAGGGGCAATATCGGGAGTACAGCGATAGGGGCAATATCTGAATTGTCTCTACACAAACATGCCTGCCGTTCAGTATGAGTATGAGAGTCCATGTCTCGCTGAACGCACGCATTAAGTATGGCGCCAGTTTTATCGAAATATTAATGGATCAGAATATATATCCTTGGCTCTTTTTTATATAGAATAAGAGTGACAAATCAGCACTGTCCACCTGATGGTAAATGGACATTGTGGCCCATAGACACCCACATATATCGATAAAACAACTAATTAATTAATAATTACAACCATAATAATATAGTGCTTATAAGCTGCAGCAAAGCTCTGCCACGCTATTTTTAGGCTATCAATGACAATTAAATGTGACTACAGTCGTCATAAATTATGTCATGTATATATATTAAATTATGACTTAGTAACTATAATTTAACTAGTGTTACAAATAGCCAGGATAGTTTTCTAGTAATGAGTTTTAATAAATTTAATTACTAAAATTTGTATTATTATTTAATTATTTATTTGATGGCATTTCATTTATATACCAGCAATTCTTGGATCTTGGATCTTGGATTAGAATATTTTCTTTCTCATGCTGACCCTTATTTATTTATTTATATTTCCTACTAACATCTACCATTACAGGGAAAAACCTAAATCGATAAATGTAGCATCTCAATTCAAAATAATAATAATAATAATACAATTAAAATATGTTATTGGAATACATCATAAAGCATAAAGTAACAATTTAAATGGTAAAAGATAATAATATTAGTAATTACAACACACAATAATTAATTTAAATAACAACACATTACAATCAATTGTATAATTCAATTTGAGAATAACATACTATGAATAATGTCACTTTTGCAAACTCACTCCGTGAACATGAAAATAAGTCCAACTTCTCAGCAACCAAATTTAGTATGTGTATCGTTCGCGTGAGGGGCTGCGCGGCACCGCGAACAAGCTCGGGCGCCGTCGCCGCTGTACATATCTATCAGGCACGCGTAAGCCTATCCACTGCAGCACACCCGGGTTGTTAATGTAACCACGGAACACCTTTAAAATGTAGGTTACCAGTGCTAGATCCCTCCTAGTTTCCAGCTTGGTGTATCCGACCATGCCCAAAACAAACAAGGTTGGGTACATCAAGGGATAGAAGGGATAAACCCCATAAAGCTTATGATATACAAATCGCGTGAATTTATTCTGAATGCGTTCTAGCATAAGACGGTATTTATTTTCATGTTGAGCCCATATTGCCGAGTTATACTCCAGTTGACTCCTTACTAGAGCATCATACAGCACTGAGATGGCTTTTATGTTGGTAAAATTTAGTGCTCTGCGAATGATAAATCCTAGTCGTTTATAAGCTTTTTTACATATGTTCAAGATGTGCTCCCGGAATGTCAATTTGACATCCACCTGTACCCCAAGATCCCGGACTGATTCCTCCCTCTTCATTAGCTCGCCATCCACCTTATAGTTGTAATGGAGTGGTGCCCTTGATCGACTAAATGATAGAATAAAGCATTTTGAAATATTAAATTGCAGCTTATTTTTGTGACTCCATTCTATTACTTGGTCGATATCTTGCTGAAGGTGGCGACAATCATTCTCACTCTTGATGGCTAAAAGCAATTTTAGGTCGTCTGCTAATAATAGACACTTAGCCTCTCTTACTACTTCTGGTAAATCATTAATCATTATGTTGAACTTTAACGGCCCTAAATTACTGCCTTGGCTCACACCAGATCTAGTAAAGTAATGCTCCGACCGGTACCCACCGTACTCCACATACTGTTTTCTATCTTTCATGTAACTCGCAAAAAAATGAAGCAGTTTAGGTGTGCAGCCAACTTTCGCCATCTTTGACAATAGGATATCGTTATCTACCAAGTCGAACGCCTTTCTGAAATCAAAGTAGGCGGCATCTACCTGCAATCCTGCATCGACATGAGGAACTAAATACGTCATGGCATTTAAGAGGTTACTGGTTGTGCTCCTCTCTGTCCGGAAGCCGTGTTGGGCGTCCGATAACTGCGGTGCAACTTGTTTCCGTACACTTCGCTGGATGGCTCCCTCAAAGACTTTCGCAGGTGTTGAGAGAATCGCCACTGGTCTGAAGGATTCAATCGTAGATTTTTAGGTATCGGAATAACACGCGTGATTTTCCAACTTTTTGGAAAATATGAATTCTTCAGACACAAGTTGAAAATGTGTAACAACGATTCCGCTAGCACTGAGCGGCAGTCTCTCATCACAAACGCCGGTATACCGTCCGGGCCCGCCGAGCGCTTTGGTTTGAGCCGGGCGAGCGCCGCGCGCACCTCGCCGAGCTGCAGCTGCGGCACGTGTACGCGCGCGCTGCCCGCGCCGCCAGCCGCCACCGCCTCGCCTACGTCCAGACGTGCTGGCTCGCTGTTATATACTGAGTAGAAGTATTTGGCAAATTCAGTCGTACTTTCTTGATCCGACAATGCTACTCCATCTTTCAATATTTGTTTACGTTTAACTGTCCCTTTTTTGCCCTAATATGATCTCAAAAAGACTTAGGATCCTTTGCCAAGTTACTATGCACACGATTCTGATAGTTTTAGGTATGCGCTATCAATACGTTTCATAATCCGCGCCCTGCAAGTAGAATAAGCTTCGTAATCAGCACGAGATCCGGTCGATTTATATCGCTTGTGAAGCTTAGCCTTTAATTTTATGTCTCTAATTAAATCACTAGTATACCACTCGGGATAATGTCTTTGATCTACTTACATTTTCCGCTTTTTCGATACACAATTATCTAAAACACTGTAAAAAACATTATAAAAAGACTCCAAAGCTTCCTCTGGTTCCTGTGTCTCGGTAATCAAACTCCAATCAGCGGAAGCTAATAAAGAATAAAATAAGTAAAAATCAGCTTTATAAAAATTCCATTGTGGTTCAATTTGGCTTGCTGATGGCTCACTTTCTAAAACAATGGGCTCGGCCGTCACAGGCGGCAACGGCGCCCCGCCAGCGCCGAGCTCCAGGGTCACCGCGAGCGGTGGGTGATACGAGTCCGCCGGCACTAATGGCTCGTCAGCTTCGCATACTTGTACAACATCACTTAATCCTAACGAACACAACACTAAGTCTAATTGACTCTGATTGCAGTTAAGTACTTTACTCATTGAACAAGTTCGCAAAAGGACTTAAAATATTCAAAATAATTTTTAACATTATCATTACTTAAATTTAAGTTAAAATCACCTATCAAAATAATATTTTTATATTTAACACACAGTTGTTCTATTATCCTAAAAAACATAATGTAGACATCATCATTAGTCTTAGGCGGGATGTAAACAACGCAACATAAAAATAAACATTTATCTTTAGCGTGTACTGTCGCACAAACCAGTTCAAATGAGCAGTTGTTTATGTTTACGTCATTCAATGCATTCACTCGTCGCAGCTGCAACCCGTGTGTGGCCACGAGAAACGCGCCGCCTAGCTTACGGCCGTCCGCTCGATCACACCTTATTATTTCATAACCCGGTGGCACAATCTCCGCATCCATTATAGAATCGTTACATCCTGTTTCCGTAATAGCAATTATATCGGCATTCAATGATTCAATATTATTACAAAAACAGTTTAACTTTGTACGAAGACCCCTGACGTTTTGGTAATAAAATTCAAAATTGGTATTTTTCTTTAATTGATTTGTTTGTTGCTTTTCGAAACCAAATCCACTCACAAAATTCGGCATTGATGGGCCACACTTCCGGTTGATACAACTTTTCATACATTGATTCTGATACTGTTACGATTAAAGAAGCGTAATCCCTCTCTGTCTTGATGATATGATAAGTTAGGTAGATATCTACTCGGTAACTAATCCCAGTAATGTTACATGTATGTAACAACGTTCAAATAAGGTTCTTTCTGCGGTGCTACCGCAAAAATAGACAAAAAAGAGATACTGGGTGAAAAAATCGCTCTTTATATTCTTCTATCACCAGTGTCAAATTTCACATTCTTTATTGTATCCATTGTGACTTGTATTGTGAAAGTCGCAACGAACTGATTGAAACTACCCCGATTGCGCTACACACACGACAGCGGCAGGGCCGATCTAGGGAGCAAGGAAGGTCTTGCGCTCCTGCCACTCTACCATAGGGCCGACTTAAGGCGTCTACTGACGTGCCTGCCGCAGGGGCAATCTAGGGTGTAGGTGTGGGGATGACCCTTAATTGCCTCCTTAATTTTGATGTGTGTAGGCAAGCAGGGGAAATTTTTTAAGTCGGCCCTGCGGCAGGGAGGCAGGAGCGCAAGACCTTCCTTGCTCCCTAGATCGGCCCTGCCGCTGTCGCGTGTGTAGCGCGATTGGGGCAATTTCGTTCAGTTCGTTGCGACTTTCGCGCGGAGCAGATGTATGAGTACAAGTCAGAACCGCAGAAAGAACGTTATTTGAACGTTGTAACATACAAGTAACATTACTGGGATTTGTTACTTAACTTATCATAAGGGCTAGTATGGGAAAGAAAATATTCCGATAGTATTAAAATTGCCGTGTAGTGGCGGTCAAGAATATCCACTACCCCATATCCTCCCGTGGGTGTCGTAAAAGGCGACAAAGGGAAACAGGCAGGAGATGGGCAGCAGCATCTTCCTGATAATAGCCAAAATTACAATAAAAAAACTGCGGTTGCCAACCCGCTCGCCAAGCGTCGCAACTATGGCAAATACCCCCCAATGATTACAGCAACAAACAGACGGCCCCCAGTCCCCAGCAGCCCCGCTATTCCTGGCTACGGTGGCGACCATGGTAACGGCGGGGCAGGGGGTGCTAAGAATCTCTGGTGGAGGTTCGGTTGCCACCTTAGACGACTCGACCTGGCAACGTACAATGCACGCACCCTGAGGACTCACGAGAAGATCGTGGAGCTGGAAGAAGAGATAGACAAGTTGTGCTGGCATATTATAGGATTATCCGAAGTCCGAAGAGAGGGGGAGGACACGGTAATCCTCGAATCCGGCAACTTGCTCTATCGCCGGGAGGGCGACCATCTGTCCCAAGGAGGTGTCGGATTTATCGTCCACAAGTCTCTCGTTAACAACGTTGTAAAGATTGAGAGTGTGTCGGCGAGAATTGCGTACCTTATACTCAGAATCACCAAACGGTATTCCCTGAAGGTCATACAGGTTTACGCACCAACCTCAGCACACCCCGATGAGGAGGTGGAGGAAATGTATGAGGATATCTCTAGAGCCATGCATTCCTCCAAAACCCAATATACGGTGTTAATGGGAGACTTCAATGCAAAACTAGGCACAAGAGAGAACGGTGAGCTGAAAGTAGGGAAATTCGGAATAGGGCAACGGAACCCAAGGGGCCAGCAGCTGGCCGACTTCATGAAGAAAGAGGGACTCTTTATGATGAACTCTTTCTTCCGGAAGCGGCCCCACAGGAGGTCGAGCCCCGACTGTTCAACAAAAAATGAG